AAGAGCATGATTATTGCAGGTCCCTTAAGTTGGGTCCCTTAGCGTACAGTCCCTTAGTTTATATAAGGGATTTAAGGGACGTCCCTTAGCGTTTTCAGTTAAAAGCTAAGGGACCGTACGCTAAGGGACCCAACTTAAGGGACCTGCAATAAACATGGTCTAAAGACGCGGTTCTGTGGTTTTTTTTCTTTTTTCATTTATTTTTTCCCCTTTTTATCGGAAGAACCTCACACTATTACCCCCGATGGAGTTGGTCTAAGAAACTAATCGCAGAAAGAAAAGTGCATTTGCTGCCATCTGCAATTTTCTTACTTCTAAGTCAGAGCTATGGTTTTTGTGTAAAGTTATCATATTAGAAATTAGCAACTCTTTAACACTCGGTTTAGTCAAGTTAACTACCTCAGATTAGTAAAATCACCGGTTCAGACTCGGTTTGGATAAAAAAAAAACAGTTCATTACATTACCATAATCCGGACAAAGTTACATAAGCAAATTGACATAACAGACACTTGAAAACAATGCTGATTTCTTATGTAAAGTTTCCAAACTGGAGTTAGTCCACAGAAATGGCCTCGGTAGTGTTCCTCCGATCTTCCAACGCTGTCCGAATTTCATCCACTAGACTCTTCTGCTCATCTTCCATTGTGTTCTGCAATTCATTGACCTGTGCCCAAAAGGCCAAAACAAATGTTCACAATCACAAACTCATCAAACACATATATTACTTTGATGAAGAAACACGCAAACAAACCACTATGTTTTAGACATTACCTCCAGTGGTTGTGGTTCAGGTTAGAAGCCTGTTTCTTATGATCGTGTCATCTTCCACAGGATCAAATGCATAGTTAGGTTTAGCTACTAAAGTATCTAATCTACCAGAGATTCTCCTTGTTTTCCCTTACATCTCAACTTCGAAAGAGATGCACAAAGAACATTCAAGAACAAGTATGATCATGTGAGGTCTTACGTTATATTATAAAAGTATTTTCTTCTTTGTTTTTGGTGTTAAGGGGCTTGACTTACAATGAATACACAATTCTAATTGAGCTGTGGAGACACCATATTTACGTTCAGAAAGTGTCATTCAATATTGAATTGAACTAAAAAATTTACTAAGATATAAACGTTACACATGTATAGTATAACATAAGACTTCACATGATCAAACACGAGTGTACATTCTCGTCGCTAAAAACCTGAGAAGAATAGTTATGTTGGGCTGAATATTGAGGAGGGTAACTAAATATTGTGTTTCCATCACTGTCTTCGTTCTTCTTGTTATTTTTGTCTTTGTTGTTATTATCTTTGCCTTTCTCTGTATTTTGACTTAGAAGCTCTACATGTTTCCCAAATTTTGTTATTGATCTTCTCCACAAGTTCTGGAGGATTCATGACTCCTCGTACCACCACCGTTGACTTTGACCGGTCTGTCAATGCAGAATGGAGAATCAGACAATCACCTAAAGAGCACATACCTTCCCCATATCAATGTTTACTCCTCTGTGAAACGGAAATGAAGAAGTTACAGTGAGACTCTATATATACAAGGTCAGCAGAGAAGTTTAACGATTAATTAACCATTTTGTAACATCCCCAAGATTTCTTTGTTTCTTTGTTTGCATGACACTACTTATTTACAATTAATCATAATTGTAGTCAATAGTAGTATTTAATCAGGTATATAATGACAATGACACAATTAATTTAGTAGGACTTTCTAACGTCTTCATCGTCCTCGTCCTCGTCCCAATAATTTAGTCATGAGTATTTGCAATATTATACAATCATGAATAGTTCCAATTGTTAGAACTTAATTTTGCGTTTTAGATATGCCAGAAACATGTGACAAAAAAAAAGATATGCCAGAAACATTTATCTATTTGACTAAATCATGGATTTCAGTTTTTTTTTTCTCGCAGAATTTAATTTACACAAAGATGTTCCAACTCCCACTATATATACTATTGAATATTTCCAGTAACAAATATGTATCCTTCATAAATATCACCAAGCTTGCCAAAAGAATAAACACTTATTAGCATTTGATAACAATAATAACAATGGTTACATCGAATTATAGCAAGATTTGGTTTTAGGATCCCAAATAGAAGGAATCAAGAATTTCAAGTGGTTGATTCCGTGTGAATTGAAGGCTCCACCAGTAAGCGGGTCAACCCGGATTCTTCCTGTAAAACCTGGAAAAGCTCCGGATCCGAAAACCCTAGTGCACTTGGTTGCAGGGTCTACGATATATATAGAAGACTTGTGGTTCCCCTCGGTGTTGTAGGGTGGCTCAGATTTGAACAATGATTCGGTTATAGCTGGATTAGTGGCGACGTCAGCTAAACCGGTAGCTAACTGAATAATCATTGCATCGGCTCCTATTTCACCACTTGGTGGTTGATATGTCATACCATGTGGACCTTTGTTTGCTATGTGGAAAGGCCAAGCGCACTCTCCAGGACATTGCACTTCCGGGTCGCTCACTATTATGTACGGTTGTTTCTTTTTTTGACCTAGATCACATTTTAAGTTATTAGATTTAAAATTATTTTTATAATATATATAATGCAATTAACGAGGAGAAAAACAAACCTTTGATATTACTATTGATGGTAAGGCCATATTCTTGGCAAGTTCCGTTACAAAACCCTACGTGTTGAGCCGTAACTTGTGGCGCAAGTAATATCACGGGGACAACTTTCGACATGTTTCCTGTGGCTGTCTCAACCAGTTTCTCACCATTATCGATTGTCAAATCTTTTCCAAACATCATCTTCTCGTCTACATAACTCCTGACAACCTTCACCTTGATCCTTGGAGCTACGGTTTGGTTACTTTTCTTTTGTCGGTAAATCTCCTTGACCTCGTATCTCTCTTGATAACTCTCAACCACTTTCCACCACGCCGATACCTTGGGGTCAAGACCTTCCTTGGCGTCAAAGTTAAGCGATTCTATAAAATCGTGAACCCTCTCTTTTTGGACCGGGGTGAATTGTCCGTACCAGAGTAATGAGAGGTTTAAGGTTGCGTCAGGGATTTGCGAAGGTGAATCACGAGAGAAACATAGAGGGGATAAGAGGAGGAATGTGATGACGGATAAGGAGGAGGAGGAAGAAGAAAACGCCATTTCCACCACGTTTAAGAACTTTTTTGCCCTTGGATTTGGTTTTTCTTAGGTTCTTTTTTTTTGGAAGCAAAATAGATTTATTATTTAAGCTATTTTTTGACATCAAAAGGTGGTTTTCTTGGTCTTCTGGATAATCGCTAATGAAGCTATTTTTCAACAAAGCTGGCTATTTTAAGATGGGTGGTGAGACTTCCAACACTCTATTAACACGTAATGAGGATGCATGACTGATGATGACCATATCAAACCGAGACGAAAGTTCACAAGACACAAAAATAGGGAAACTGAATGTCAAAAATACAAAACCACCCAAAAAGGAAGTAGTTGTATACATTTTAAAATATCAAAAACTTCAACATCATATATTATGAAACCAAAGAAGTTTTCAGTTTGTGAATATCATACTTTGACCGGTGGAAACAGTTTTTAATAGAAAAATTAACGAAAAGTTTCAAAACATAATACTATATATTAAAATATAAATATTTTTTTTTTGGTAAAATATGAATAAATTTAACATCATATATTATGAAACTGAAGAATTTTTCAGTTTGTGGACATCATACTGACGGTGGAAACAGTTTTCAATAAAAAAGTTAACGAAAATTTTCAAAACATAATACATACTAAAATACCAAAAACTTTCAACATCATATATTATATATATTATGAAACCGAATAACTTTTCAGTTAGTGAACATCATACTTTAACCGGTGCAACATTTTCAATAAAAAAAGTTAACAAAAAGTTTTGAAACATCATACATTTTAAAATACCAAAAACTTTCAACATATATTATGAAACAGTAGTAAGAACCAAATCATCTTGGCTCACGTGCTTTTTGCCACAGACAATGACATGCCTCTTCCCAAAGGAGAGATGTTATGTTATAAACAAATAAAAAATAGTAATATGATACAGTATGTAATAAAAACAAACATTCAATAGTAGACAATTATTCTGTTACTTTTCTTGTTTTTATTACTGTTAGTTCATGTTAATTAGGCCAACAATACACTGACATATTTTTTTATAACTTTCGAAATTATATTGTATAAAGATTTAAATGTTTTAGTATTGGCCCTTCCACCGCGGCAGGGCAAAACGCAGAAGAAACGGTGATTTAGGTGCACACAGTACGAAGGTGCGTTGAAAGGAAGAGTAAGAGCATGTTTATCGCAAAAGGTGCTTAAATTTTTTTTTTTTTTTTTTTTTTTTTTTTTTT